AAAGTTTAATACTGCAGTTAACTGAAGGATTTAAAAAAAAAAAAGAAATGAAGATCTGGATGAAAACATCTCTTTAATGAATTAATGGAAAATTTCAAGTAAATTACATACCAAATGCCATGTCTGCTTTATCCTTATGTATCTCTCCCTTCAAATTATTTCAAAATTAAGTAGATAAGCTGAACATACCCAGTTATATTCTCCCTATTAGAAATACTACTAACCTACTTACTGTGTTCATGTTTATTTCACAGAGAATGTGGATTATGTGGGTTGATATCAATCCTAATAATCAAATAATTAGGCTTTTACTTTAGACCAAATTGACCAGCTTTGATTTTCACTGTATCTTAAAGGTAGGAAAAAATTTTAACTAAATTTTTGGTCTTCTCCCCTCACAAATAGTTCAGATAATAATCAATGGACAGTACCTATATGACTAAATCAATCATATTTGCTAATCTGTCCTTGAAAAATCTGGTTAATATTGAGGACAACATTTTCAGACATAGGAGAACATTTCTATGATGTTGTGCTGATAGCATGTTTAACAGCCTTATGATGACACAGAAGATGTCTGGAGTAGGTACCTTTATTATTTACCTCTTGCCTACGATATAGTTGAATGCATGAGTTAAGTTATGCAAGGTTCTACAGGATATGACAATGCTAATAATTCTGTATGTAGACTACTACTTTAGCTTGTTGACTCTGTTGTCCACCATGGGAGAATGACTGTGTTCATACCATGATGTATTCTTTTTCTTCTCTTTGTCTTTTTTTAATGGGGATTGAACCCAGGGCCTCAAGCATGCTAAGCATGTGTTCTACCATTAAGCTATAGCCCCAGTCCCATCACGGCTTTCTTATACTAGCTACTAACTAAATATTGGTTAAACCAATTAAATAAACAGAAGAAAAAGAATAGATTCAGCCAGCCTCTTTGATGCTGGGCCAGAGAATGTGGCTTGGATATATAGTCAAATGGAGTTTATATTTTGAGTTTATCTCTAAATGTAGGCTTTCCCTTTGTATGGTAGAACCTGTCCTAGTAAAATTATCACAGTGTAGAACAAATCAGAATATATCTCTTTGTAGGAAGACCCACCTGGGGAAAAAAGTACAGACAGTTCTCTACACCAGATTTGCTTAGTGCTTTTTGTTGCAAATCAGTAAGCAGACGTGAAATAGATAGATACTTGTTAGTAGAGATATTAGATACTTGTTAGTAGAGATATTACTTTTAATAGATGTGTTTGCAAGGGAACATGAAGCTACTAGATACATGGGAATCCTGAGAATCAGAGAGTCAGATAATGTCCTCAAGGTGACAAGCAGAGCTTAGGTTTGAACTCGAACCTCCTAAAACTAAATCAAGTACTTTTTATGTTTTAAGAATCTCTTAGAGCTGGGCATGGTGGTGCAGGCCTGTAATTCCAGCGGCTCTGAAGGCTGACGCAGGAGAGTCACGAGTTCAAAGCCAGCCTCAGCAAAAGTGAGACACTAAGCAACTCAGTGAGACCCTGTTTCTAAATAAAATACAAAATAGGGCTGGGGATGTGGCTCAGTGGTTGAGTGCCCCAAGTTCAATTCCCGGTTACCCCCGCCACCCCCAAACAAAGCATTTCTTAGAGTAAAGAAGTGCAGCAAGGAGTTATGCTGCAGTGTCCTCGGAAACAGCAGGTTCCCCAGGGGAGCGAAGACTAGTGAGCAGAATGAGGCCTGGCACAGGCAGACAAGGGCAGTCCATGTCCTCTGCCAGCTGTTAAGGAGCTCACCAAGAAGGTCTTGTCCTCACAGGGAGCCACCCAGAGAGGCCTTAAAACATGCATGCTGTAGACTTGACAAGGTCTTGGGGCATGGCCGTGAGTCCTATAAACTGTCTTTCCATGCGACTTTGCATTATTTTTCTGGTTATTTCCTTGGTATCCTCATATGTCATTTCATCCTTTTCCTTTAAAATAATTTAAAATACCAACTACCAAAGATTTTCATTTATCATACCTTACAATGACTGAAGAACAAAATTTTTTCAATAGAAACTTTTCTTTGGAGGCATGACAAGAATCTCGTAGCCAGTGAGATGTGACTGAGTCAGTAGATTGAAAATGGTAAACTCTGTTTATTTATATCTTGTTAATGATTAATACCTTTGTAGTTTTAAAAACCAGAATAAATAATGGCTTCTTATTTTTTTAAAATGGCAGTGAAAACCAAATACATTAAAATATCTACTAATTGTCTTTAGCAGTATATGGCATTGCATATTTGATCCTAGGATATTTCATCCCATATCCCCCCTGGGTATTCCTGGGTGTGGTGGAGGGATAGCTGGTGGGTGGACAGACACTTGTTAGTAGAGATATTACTTGTGTAACAATTGGAGGCTACTACATTTGTTGAAGTTGCCTGGCATCTGTGGGAATGGGGGAAAGGAGATAGAATTGAGTCCTGGTGGAAGCAGAATCTTTAAGGATTGGCAACTGTGATATGACAGTGGAGAGCAGGAAACATCATGGACTCTCAGACTTTGTGCTGAGTCACTAGCAGAATGTTGGTGCATTTAACAGAAGTCTGCTGAAAGTGATGGCAGAGAGCTAAGTGGAATCATGGGTTCTGAGATAGAAAGGTATTTTAGAAGCACTTTCTCTGAACATGTTTCCTCAATTAGCTGAATATACTAAGATCTTCTGTGGAATGGATAACAGCCAGGGAATGAAAGATCTTAAATGATCCATGTACTCAAACCAAGAGAGCTGTTGTTGTGGGCAAAAAGAGGAAATCACTTAAGATGGTAGAGTCCTTGTATTGTTTGTGTTTAGGACTGCCTTCCCGCCTTTAGCCTTTATGCTTTCCTGTGATGTATTGAAACTTTAAAGGAATTGCTCTATAATGCAAATTTGACTGGAGACTTTTTCTTTTGTTCTTACCAAGGTTAAAAAAAGAATTCCATTTTACATTATGACTCTGGGCAATTACCTCAAGAAGTGAACTTGGACTATTTTTTTCTACTGTATACTAACTTTGAGCTCCATGATAATTCTAAACTCCAGAATATAGAATCCCTGTTAGTTTTATTCAATGAATGTTAAGACTGTGGTACTCTTTCCAGAAAAACAATAGGAAAAATATTTTATCTAAATGAGAAAAGCAAATAGAAGATTCCCCTTATGTTTGTAAGACAGTTAATCTTTGTATTTTTCTAATTTATTGCTGTTTCCCATCCAAAATTTATACCTGAGCTTTCTGTTCTTTTGAATTTCTTGCACTTTTTTTATGCTTAATTTTTAAATTTCTTTATATGCGGTGCTAGGGATAGAACACAGGGCCTAGTGCATTCTAGGTAAGCACTTTACCACTGAGTCACAGCCCTGGCCCTGGACTTTTTATTCAGATTAAAAACCTGGATTTTGCACATTAATCTAGTTTTACTCAGAGTCATAAAGTGAGAAACATCAAAATCTCACAAGGGAAATGTGCTAATGCTGCATGAAACTTGGGAATAATGTTATAAACAAATGTATTGCCAAGAACTTATTGTTATGTTTTAAATGCAGAATTAATAACCTGTTCCAAGACCACATATGCTATTCATCAGGGTTTTCTCCTAAGACTATCTGTATTTCCTATCATTTTTGAGTCCACATTAATGAGAATGTTAGAAACTGAAATTTAAATAAAATCTTTACATGGTCCTATTTTTGGCTTTACTCTTGAGAATGTGTAACCTTGGCAAAGGTTAGTCACCTTCAGGCATTTTCTCCCCAGAGCTCAGGGAACAGTTCTTTGGCTTTTATTTTCTCAAAGGTGCATGTAGCAAACACAACTGTGTGTTTATCTCATATCTCACAGAATATGGTTGCTCAACTTTAGTAACACAAGTTTTTTGTGCTTTAACTATGATGTGTTTCTTGTTAAGAAAAAGAGAGGGTTAGGATGTAGCTCAGTGGTAGAGCGCTTGTCTAGCATGCACAGGCCTTGGGTTCAATCCCCAGTTTGGGAGTGCAGGAAGGCCAACTGTTGAATGTTTTCCTGTGATTACAAAGGTGACAGAAGTCGCCAGTTATATTTTCTTCTGTTGCAAACACTAATCCATACTTCGCTGCTATAGGTAATTTTTATTTTATTTTTTGAAAAGATTTGTTAAAAATGTGTGCTTAAGATGCAAATTAATTTAGTAGAAGTCAGCTGTGAAGAAAAATAAATACTACATTTAGAAAGTAAATATACAATTTAAAACTTAAGCTTTTTAACCTTTCCTAACAGGCATTATGAACCATGTATTCAATCAGTGGATAGTATTTTTTAAAGATTTAATATTGTAATGGCAATAATCAAAATAATAGTGAATAAGTACAAACTATATTATCCCCACTCTTGCCAATTCTAATCATTATAGGTCATATTTTATGAAATTATGTTCTTGGTTACAGTATATTTTGACATATTAAACTTAGATTTTTGTATTTCTCCTTTATTTAACTTTAGAACTTCATATGATAATTCTTTTTTTGTGGGGGAGGGTATCAAGGATTGAACTCCGGGCACTCAACCACTGAACCACATCCCAGCCCTATTTTTGTATTTTATTTAGAGAGAAGGTCTCACTGAGTTGCTTAGTGTCTCACTTTTGCTGAGCCTGGCTTTGAATTTGTGATCCTCCTGCCACAGCCTCCCCAGCCTCTGAGATTACAGGTGTGTACCACTACGCCCGGCAGAACTTCTTCTTATAATGATTCTAAGTAAAGAATATTAATTACACATAGGAAGCTGCATAAAGTTAACATTCATGGTATACTTAATAGTGTTTGTATTTACTAAAGGTGGTAAACATTCCTGTATATAATTTGAGTCTTGTTATATTTTCATTATGTATAAGTAGTTAATAAAGCAGATATCTTTATAGATATCTTTATTGAAATTTTGTTCCTTTCTTTAAAAAAAAATACTTTGAGGTGTATCTCTACAGAGTACAAAGTGAAATTATTTTTAATTGTTTAATTACTTTGTATTACATCAGTACTTCTACTCCAGATAAGTGTGTCGGATACTGTTGGAAACTATAGGAGGCCATTGTTTGGGACTAAGCTCCTGCATTGGCATACAACAGACTGGGCTAAAAACGGAGTACTCATCCATGCTACTAAGGACTAGTAATCATGGGCCTTCAATTGGAACCCAGGACCCAATATTTCCAGGTCACTAAGGGTGAAAATAAGCCGTCTATCTGACCTCCTGGAAAATCAAAATTAGAGAAGATAACATCCAATTTACAGAATTGCTGACCAAGTAAGGAATGTAGTATGTAATCGGGCAACAAAGGGATTCAACACATGACCTTAGCCTTTTGATATTGTTTCCCTAGCCTCAGACTCTGTGACAGATTCACTTACCCTGTGATGTATATAAGTATAGTACTCTAGCAGTGTGTTCCAAACATGATGTTTAATCACATGATGGAAAACACACTCGAAAGTGTGGCTACATCAACTTCAGAGAATCAGAAGATTAAATTTAGCAGTTCTAACTGCCAGACTCGTTCACCTTCTTTGACCCAGGATATAATTTAAGCTACGCTCACTTTATACTGTGAAAAGTATGAACTAATTGTGCATGTCAAAGTAAGTTCTTCAAGAAGAGAGAGGGCTACCTTTCCCCTATTTGAAAGAAGAGAGAAGGAAGGGCAAAGCAGAGAATCTCTGGAGACGTGTGTGCAAGTTTGCCTCTGGCTAGAAGTTAATGATCAATTGCCTCTCTGCTCAGCTCTGTGCTCAGAGAAAGAAGCAAACTTGGGTTCTCTCTATTCAGGTAACTTTCAAATCATACTTACTGTAAAAATATACAAGCTGTGCATGTTAACTGTACTTTATAAACGTAATTGTTTTTATTTCTTTAGTTTTTTCTGATATCATATTCTAAATTTATTGAAAGAAAATGAAAAACTAAATGTTGGCTCAGAAAACTATTTCACTTTTAAAGTGTACTGAGTTAATACTAATGACGGATTCTGTGCTTATATTAGGGAAAGGGAATTTTTAAATGTATTTATGAAATGAATTATTGTGATTCCTAAGACTACTGGCTGAAATATGTGTTAATTATAATTATTTATAATAATAAATAACATAGTACATTATTTAGTCTTGGTAAGGAAACTCAAAATCTCTAACACTGAAATTCTGAAAGTAAGAGTGAATCACTAAAATTGTATTTATCTTGATGTTGTAAAACAACGAAATATCTTTATTTTTCTTATTCTAGATTGCTACATTTTATAAATATCTGTGTATATTGCTGAAAAAATACTATTTATTTTTTTATTGTGGAACTTAGGTAACTTGGTCCCAATATATTTGGAATGGTACTATGACAAACAATGAAGTTATAATGCAGGTATATTTCAGGTGACACTACTGTATAATTTCAATGAAATTAAAGGCCTTTTTCACTCAAATTTACAACTTTCAAAGCTAGTTTCTGAAAATAAAAATATCTATGCTATATGTATACAGAGTGATTATACTTTGCATTGAGCTTCCAACATGAAGGATACATTGCTTATGTCACTGCATCACAAATTGTTTGGGTTCTTTTTAAAGTTTCTGTTGACAGTGGTTATCTGTATTCAACAAGTATCCAAAGCCAAGGGAACTTGTGTTTGTTGGATTTAGACTCAAGTCATAAAGACAAGTAAATATTAGAAGTTAAATGTTTCCATGCTACTACATATGTAGTTTTCTCTATATATTTTTCCTGAACTGAATTAGATGCCAGACAATGATTGATGATTTTACAACTGCAATTTTCAGCTGGTAAAAACCTAGAAGAACATCTATTTTAATAAGAGGAACTATGTCTAGAGAGGGGAAGTAACAAAAACTATCGGGAGCTCTGGGGCCGGAATCAAAGTCCCTATTTACTGGGTGACAAATAGAGTTAATAGCTTATTAGTCAATGTTTGTGCTGGTTTTTTTTTTTTACTTCCTTTTTTTTAAAAAAAGGGAAGCAATATTTTATTCCTTAATACATTTCTATTTTGAAGTGCTGCAAGATAAGCACTGGCAGTTAAAGTGTAGTTGCATAGTGATTTTTTTCCAGATTCACCACCACTGGCATTGCTAAGTTTCTATAACACTGTAATTTATATAATCCCTTTCTTCTGTTCTGTCTGCATACAGATTTGCTTAGGTATATCTAAGTTCTGTTTACAAAAGAAGTTCTTCAAGGTTAAATAAGAGAGTATTGCCAGTTCTTATTTTAGTAAACACTAAAGTCATGCTGAAAAGTTCATACTTTATAAGTTAAACATCCAGATGGCTAAAATTTCATTGATTATGGAAATTTAAAATATGAGTAAAATCAAAGTATGCAAATAAATATGACGAGTCTTAAATTTTAGACCAATTAATATGCAATCTAAAGTTAGAACAATTATTTGAAAGGATGATAAAAATTGAGACTTTAAACTGTTAGATATGTACAAATTCCTTACTATATTATAGTATACTGTGCATCTTTTTAATATTAGATATTAATATAGAACCAAGATTATACGTATTAATGACTAGTTGCTATTCTGATTCACTATGGCCTTTGGATATCTACTTCTCAGTTTCCTATTAACCATATAGAAATCAAGTTACTATAAGAAAGTGTCTTTCTTTCTTTAGTACATTATTGGATATTCTTCATGAATGAATTACTGAAAAGTTCACCAAGTCTTTTTTGACAGTTACACATAGATATTACACACACACACGCACATACACACACACACACAATTTAAGATTCTCAGAGACAAGGAGAGAGAATCAATGCTTTCAATGCAATGAAGTGTGCAGGTGTTGGAAAACCTAGCTTTGCAAATCATGGGTAAATCTCATAACCTGTAAGAACCCTAAAAGGAGATCTAAATGTAGGCTATAACAATAAGCGAGCTCTAAATGGAGACTATAACAATAATAATGATTTTTTATTTAGTATGAGAATCATGTGAATTTATGTATAACTTGACCTAGTGGATTATAAATCATTAGGGAGCACCTCCTAAGGCTGTCATGACAGTACCACAAACTGGTGGTTTAAAACAGCAAAAGTTCATTCTCGCTTAGTTGTGGACGGGTGCAAACACTCAGAAACATGGGGAGAATGCTACATGAAGATGGTGGCAGTGGGACTCCAGTCTGTGCCTCCATCTTCATATGGCATTCTCCCTGTGTTTCTGTGTCTTCACATGGCAGTCTTTTTATTTATGTATTTATGTATTTATTTATTTTAGTTGCCAGTGGGTGTTTCACTTTACTTGTTTATTTATATGTGGTGCTGAGTATCAAACCCAGGGCCTCACACATGCCAGGCAAGTGCTGTACCACTGAGCCACAACCCCAGTCCCACGTGGCAGTCTTCTTGTAAGCATATCTATTAGACTGGATTTGGAGCTGCCCTATTCCAGTACAAACTCCTCCCAGTCAATTACACATACATTGGCTCTAGGGAATAGTTTGGATCTGGAATATACTTCAAAAACCATGTGTTAGATATTTTCTCCTCAGGTTGGTGCTGTTGGGAAGTGTTGGAAACGTTAAGAGGTGCGTCCTGGAAAGAGGTGTTTGGGTTATTGTAAGAATTCATTCAAAGGAAATAGTAGGACCGCAGCCTCTTCCTCTTCCTCTCTTTAGCTTCCTAGGCATGGAGTGAGCAGGTTTGCTCCACATATGTTCTCCCCATGATGTTCCACCACAGAGTGAAAGCAACAGGGCCAAATGATCATGGACAGTTACACGTGAGCCAAAGTGTGTTGGGGGGAAACCATCCTTTTTTTCTTTTTAACGTGATTATCTCAGCTGTTTTTGTTATAGTAGTGGAAAACAGACTAACATCCCATTTCCAAATAAGGTCATATTCTGAGATGCTAGAAGTTAAAATCTCAACTTGTCTTTTTTGAGGGATGTAATTAAACCAATAATAGTTTGCCTGTGACTCCTTTCCCAAATTCAAGTCCCTACCACATGCATACCGCATGCAAAAATGTATATTCAAGCTGATCACAACATTTCCAAATATCTTAGTTATTCCAACATCAGCTCTAAGTCCGAATTCTATTTAGATCTGTTATGGATGACACTTGGAATGTAGTCTATCCTAGGAAACAGTTTCTTTCCATCTGTCAACCTGTGAAATCTTGAAAACAAGTCATCTACTTCCAAGATACAATATGAGAAAGAATAGACATTCTCATTATAAAAAAAAAAAAATTGGAATAAACAAAATAGAAAGGTTCTACTAATCTAAACCAACTTCAAAACTTATCATAATGTAAAAATTCCATGATGTTATAAAACTTGGGATTAATTCTCTATTGCTTGTTGCTCTGTCTTGCCAGAATGATCCTGCCTCCTGTTTTAGTCAGCTTTTTTGCTGCTGTGACTAAAAGATCTGACCAGGATAATTTTAGGAGGAAAAGTTTATTTGAGGGCTTATTGTTTCAGAGGTCTTAGTCCATAGAAGGCCATCTCCATTCCTCAGGGCCCCAGGTGAGGCTGAACATCATGGTGGGAGAGTGTGGCAGCAGAAAGTGGCTCACATCTTGATCAGGAAAGAAAAGAAAGGTCTCCACTTGCCAGATACAAATAAATACCCCAAAGCCATGCTGCTCCATTCCCACCTCCTCCGAACACACCCTACCACTTCAGTTATCACTCACTTAATCCCTATGAGGGACTAATTTACTGACTGAGTTAAGACTCTCACAACCCAATCATTTCTCCTCTGAATGTTCTTACATTGTTTCACTTGTGAGCTTTTGGGGGACACCTCACATCCAAAGCATAACACCTCCTTTCCTAGGTCTTGCCCCCTTTCTCCTCAGTCCTGGGTGGTGGCTCTGCTCCCTGAAACTAAGGACATGGCCCTGTTCTTTGGAACTGTGGAAATCCCTTTTCCCAAGCCTCTGCATACATTTTTCTCCCCTGTAATTCTTCCTTTGCTTTATTCTTTCTTTATTTCTTTCAGTACAGACTGGCAGTATTTTTGCTGGCATAATATTTTTAAAAATCTCTCATCCTTTTGTGGGCATCCAAGACAAAAGACAAGAGAGTTCTTTTAAGTGTCTTCCACATGCCTGCATCTCTATTCTCGAATTTGAAGTTTATTATTCTCATTGCATGATTTTAGGTTATTATTATGAATGTATGCTTACATAGATAGTATTTTATATAGTTTGCAAGTTCTCAGATTTCATGTATTGGTTTCATACTGAATAAGTATTTAAGAAGCCATACACTTTATTTGTTCAATAATGTGTTTGAAATAATGTGACTCATAGTTTTAATCCATTCACTGTATTATTATTATTATTATCATTAGTAGTAGTAGTAGTAATATTTTTCATTGACTAATATTATTTAATTATAATTCATAGTACAATCTGTGTACATATGACAGCCATGACTTCTCTAAATATATTCTCTGGGTCTGTGTTCAATTCTTTTGATTTATACTCTTAACAATATTTGAGCATTTATTACCACCTGCAATTTCTCTAACAATTCATTTACATTCTGTCTTCTCAGATAGTCCCCGATCTGGAACTTAGTAAGTGGAGTCAATTAACACTGCTAACATTGTGTGATATTTCATTCTGGTCTCTGTGTTATATATATTTTATTCACAGATATTAATTATGCATTGGGGTTCAGTGTGATGCTTTCATATATGCTAAACTGTACACTGATCAAATTCTCCCCCCACCCTACCCTTTTCAATCCCTAGTAAACATAATTCTGATTTTAGGTTGACTTTTTTTTTTT